ATCAAATCTTCATAGACCACAGTAACATAGTGACATAGAGAGCCAACATCAATATAACCTGTGACTGAAAAAAGTTACCTCTATATAAATAAAAAAAAATATTACTAGATTAAAGTTTTTGTAGAGAGTTTTAGATAGTTGTTTTATTTGTCAGTTAGTCAAACAGAGCTGGAAAATCCCAGTCCTCCAGACTATCAGAATCATAGAATCATAGAATCGTAGAATGGTTTGGGTTGGAAGAGACCTAAAAGATCATCTAGTTCCAACCCCCCTGCAATGAGCAGGGACACTTACCGCTATACCAGATTACTCAAAGCCCCATCCAACCTGACCTTGAACACTTCCAGGGATGGGGCATCCACAACTTCCCTGGGCAACCTGTTCCAGTGCCTCACCACCCTCATAGTGGTGAATTTCTTCCTTATATCTAATCTAAATCTACCCTCTTTCAGTTTAAAGCCATTACCCCTTGTCCTATCACTCCATGCCCTTGTAAAAAGTCCCTTTCCAGCTTTCTTGTAGGCCCCCTTGAAGTACTGGAAGGCTGCTATAAAGTGTCCCCAGAGCCTTCTCTTCTCCAGGCTGAACAACTGCAACTGTCTCAGCCTGTCTTTATAGGAGAGGTGCTCCAGCCCTCTGATCATCTTCATGGCCCTCCTCTGGACTCGCTCCAACAGATCCACGTCCTTCTTATGTTGGGGGCCCCAGAGCTGGACGCAGTACTCCAGGTGGGATCTCATGGGAGTGGAGTGGAGGGGCAAAATCACCTCCCTCGACCTGCTGGCCACGCTTCTTTTGATGCAGCCCAGGATACAGTTGGCTTCCTGGGCTGCAAGCGCACATTGCTGGGTCATGTTGAGCTTCTCATCTACCAACACCCCCAAGTCCTTCTCCTCAGGGCTGTTCTCAATCCATTCTCTGCCCAGACTGTATTTGTGCTTGGGATTATCCTTATAAACAACTAGTAAAGCCAAAACACTTATTCAGCTTATATTGGGATTCCCTCAGGTCTTGCAAAGCAATGAATGGAAGTGACCAGTTTAAGACTCAGATGCTTGTTAGTGCAATCCTCTGTGTGCTTCTTGTAGGAAAGCATGGAAAGAAGCTCTGTATGTCACTGGTTTTACTCTTATGTGTACTATTTAAGGATGATATGTACGTTTCCATCAGATAAGGAATTATAACCAAAACCATCCTTTAGTGAGTTAACACTATAAAATAATTGACATCTCCTTTGGTCTCTCTCTCCCTCTCTCCCTTCCCCATATAAAATTATGCAATATGGCTTAGCAATTCATGTCCATGTACAGAGAACCCAAGCTGCTTCTAACGAGTTATCCCTTTCTTATACAGCTTAATTTACACATCATTGCGGTATTTTAAGAGAAAACAGCAGGCTTTTAACTTGCAATCACTTTTCATAGCTACTTAAAATTTCAGATACCTTTAACTTTTGCTGACTTGCTCAGCAGGGGCTCCAATGCTCATTTTGTTCCTGTTCCATTAAGAATTGGGAGCTGCATTAGCCCTGAAGCCGAAGCAAGATGATGGCACTCAGATATAGAAGTTTAAAAGTCCTCTGTCCCCGGGATATTAAAGCCACAAAATGGTGAAATCCTCCTTGGGAAAAAAAACCATATAAGTGGTAACATCATCAATACAGAATATGAAAATAAAACATATTTTAAAAACAAAATTAGGTACGACAAATCTTACAAGCTTTTTTCTTTGCAAATTTTTCACAGGTCATTAAATCCATTAAGTTGATTTTCTCTAGATTTGGTATTATGAATGATTGCCTGCATCCTCACAAAATGCCTTTTAAACTCATTAAACCCAATACAGTTGCTTTTATGCTTGTTTTAATGGTATAGTGCACTTTGCACTTCATTTTGAAACATTTGCAAGTAAGAGTAATTAATTAAATATTCTGAAGTTTAATAAAGCGGTCATTTTTTCTGGGTAAATACCTGTCAGTCAAAGGGAATTCAGCATTTCAATGAATGCACTTAGTAACTGAAGGCTTTTATAAATGTTCATTTATTAATTTACATCTTTGCCATGTTAGACATCAGAGATGCTTAGAGAGATGGATTTTGCTGCTATGGAAAGTCAGTGGCAAAGCTCAGTGGCTTCCACTGAAGATTAGCAGAAGCAAAAGCATTTTCCTTTCAATTTATAAATCACTTTATCCTAAATTCTGAGTGAATAGGTCAATAATTGCTTAGCAAATGCATCTTGATAGTTTGTTTCATAAATATTGGTAGTAGATATTAGTCTGTCTTTTGATAGGTCTCCATGACTTTGTCATGCTTTCCACAGCAGTTCTCCCTCTAAACAAGCCAGGCCTGCATTTCTTCTAAACCAAGCAGATTTGCCACTGATGTGAACAAAAGTTTGATGAAGTGTCTAATAATTAGCCTAGATGCACATCTGTAAATGGGACCGGATTTGCACTTGTTCAGAAACCTACAATCCTCTTCTGTCTGGAACAACTTTTTAACTGCTTCTTTAATGAAACCTACATGGATTAGTCTTTCATAAGAAATAAGACTCATAGGGATTTCATGATTCAGTGAGCTCTTTCTCATGTCCTCATGCCATGTGATTTCTTCTTCAGAAATACTAACTCCACCTCAAAAAAAGTCCAGTTCTGTCCTCCCTACCTCCTAAAGTAAGTCTGTTAATTTTCCTAGTTAAATCTAGCTAATATGAATATCACCAATTTTTAAAGATATTTAAGTGCTTCTTTCCCACTACCCTGTCAATTTGGTCCTCTTGTCAATACCCGAAAGAGAGATATTGTGTTTTATTTAGGAAAAAAATGTGACTATACTGAGAATAAATATTTGGAACATATTGCTAAAAAAACCCTGGTTTTTTTTAAATCTTTATCTTAGAAATAAGATACAGTTATTTAAGAAGGATAGAAATTAACAAATGGAATTACTTAGCTAAGGATAGAGCACATTTTTTCATCATTTGTATTACTTTTGGACACACCCCTTTCGAAATGGTAAAGCTCACATAGAGCTTAGAATTTTTATATACATAATATCAAATAGAGTTGATTAAAGACATCAGATCATATAATCATGGTGTTCTCTTCTAGCCCTCAAAAGAGCTACTGGCCACATATATCAGTAGTGTATACCAGTTTATATATTATCATATTTATTTGTATGTATGTAAAGTATACACAAATATATGCTGGCACATCCAAAGAAGAGCAAAAAAGCTGGTGAAGTGTCTAGAGAACAAGTCTTATGAGGAGCGGCTGAGG